CAAATGCGAAAAACCATTAAGCAGTGTGAGTGTGAAAAGAAGTAGTTCTGTTGGATGGCTGAGTTTTTCCGCTCGCCGAGAAAGTCAGTGAGACTTGAAAAACAAAATGTAACAGTAGCCGTGGGCGGGGATGCCGTCTCATAGTTGGCAAACTGCGCGGCGGCTGCCGTAGAGCCGGAGGTTGGATGTTGCTGTAGTTAGCCAATGTGGTGTGAGAGGCTGTCGCGGGACCGTGAACGTTCCCTAGTGGGAGTGGTAGTGTTGATGTGGGTTGCCGGGGTGGCTTGTGGTGGAGGGCCTGTCCAGTATGAGTGTAGGTGTTCTGCGTCTTGTGGTGGGGTACGTGGTGAAGGGGAGGGTGAACGGCTGGAAAGTCCGGGTGGTAGTGGAAAACCTGGCGGTATGTTGTGGATGACGGCCAGGTTTCTGCTGGAGAGTGTGGCTGTGGGGTTGATGCGGTATTGTCCTGGAAGCCCGGGGCCGGTGGTAACAAATTGAAGGAGCCGACGAGCCTGGGAGAGGTTATCGATCAAGCGGTCCAGCAAGATCAGGTCACCGCGCATTCGGTAAAGGAGGTTGTATGCTCTCTGGTCTTGGAAATAAATCTGGCTTGGCATAGGTTCAGTGTGGAATGGGTGACGGCGGAGGTGTTGGTTGACCAGAGAGAGGAGGTCCAAAGAGCCGTTGAGGGATTGAAAATCGGGCTGAGTGCTAATCGAAGGTTGGAGCCAGCTCGGAGGGCGCTGTGGGAGGTAGTGTTCTGTATCGGCAGGGTTGCTATGAGGGCGAGCGCGAGGATTGGCCATGACAAATGATGGAATAAAATGGCGTACAAAAGGCTACGGAGCTGAAGTGAGCCTGAAAACTGACAAATCGAAGTTGGGCAAACTGGTGAACGTAGATTGGATGTGAGAAACCAAATGTCAGTACGGGTCAGTGGATTTGTCCTGCGGCACGCCGTAAAGAAAGCTGGGTGAAACGGGTCAAATGAAAAAACTGACCATGGGGGTAAGTGGAGATTTCTCCGGTTGACTGTCTTCACTAAGGTCCCGCTCAGCAGCCGGCGGCAGCAGCGCAGCAGCAGGAGTCGTTGGATGTTGTGAAGTCTGTGGCGTTGTTATGGGGGAAGGGGAGAAATCCGGTTGTGAGTGTGGTGCTGGGGAAACTGCTGGTGATGTGGGTGTTGGTGAGGGGGAAGGTGCTTGTCTTGGTGGTGCGGTTGGTAGTGGTGTGGAGAAGAGTTGCTGGTCCTGCTGACGTTGCGTGTCTTTGAGTTCCTGCCATCGGGCTTGGCATTGCTCAACGGAGAAGCCCACTCGGCGAGCCACAGTGGTCCAGTTGGGACGAAGTTTTGGGTTTTCTTTGAGTTCTACCAGGCGACAGTCAGCGTCGCCGTCCCAAGCATCCCAATCCGCCTGTCGGTTCAGTGGTGGTGGGGGTGGTTGCTTCCGCTTGCGTGTTGTGGTGGGTTGTGGATCTGGGGTTGTTGTTGGAGTGTCGTCTGAGTCTTTTGAGGGTGGTGCTGGTAAACGGTTGGGTGGTCTGGATGGTGCTGAGTCACAGGATGAGGTGGTAGATGGTAAACGTATAGGGTGGTTGGGCGGAGTTGGAAGTGGCTGAAAGTGTTGGCGGAAAGTGGGGTCCGCTTGGTGGCAGTGGTGAAGGAAAACAGTGTGGAGGTGTGCTACAATATCTGTTGCTTGTCGGAGCAGGTTTTGCACCTGCGAAAGTGCCACTGCGGTTCTGTGTATGAGAGTTGAGGTGTCGTTTTGTAGAGGTGTCGGTGTGCTGCTCATGATTCTGAGATGTAGGGGTGTACAGTAGCTAAGAATCGTCACAGGTTGCTGCGGCAGCGCGCCAAAGCAGCCGGACAGCGGCGAGTCTGAGGAAGCGCGTCATCACGAGGCCGTGCGTATGAATTAAACGAGCATCAAATTCCCACAGGCAAAAGAGCGAAAATGCAATGCCGGTTGGACAATCAAGTACATGAGAAACTGACATGTGAAATACTCCATCAAAACAGCCGGTACGATTCGAGGAAAGATGTTTACAGCAAAACACTGCAGAGCTTGAAAAATTGAGGGTTCAAAATTCGCGTGGCCTCTGCAGGAGGCTCTTTTTTTGCTGCTACAGCAAAGGTTGGGTGTTGGGGTGAGACCAAAGGTGGATGTGGAGGTGGTAGTGGTGTGTAGAAGTGTGGTAGTGGTGTTATGGGTCCGGTGGAGTGGAGTTGGTGGACCAGGCCAGTCCTTTGACAATGGCGTGGTCCGGGTGGATCACCCAGCAGCGGCCCTTCTGACGAAAGACTGCACCATGGTGGTCGTTAAGGAGGTTCATGGCGTGTTCCTCACCTCCAGAGGTATATTTTGTGGCAGCACCCCAAGCAAGGAGTGTGATGATAAGGGAATGGGAATTCTTGTGGAGTTGCCAGGTGTTGTGGATGATGCGGGCAAGTTCGTTGTGGTCATGGGGTTGGTTGTGGGTGATGCGAACGCCCTGGGCAAAAAATCCAGGGTAGTTGGCAAAATGGAGTGTGCTGGGTAAAAATCGGCCTTGGCGTAGAATGTTGGAGATGTTGCCGACGGGGCCTGTGTGGCCTGCGTTGATGTGGGCGACTTCCCGGTGGGTTGATGTGGCGCGGGAAACCGCAGGTGGCTCTGGTGTAGTGGCTTTGGTGTTGAGGAAGGGAAGTGAAATGGCGTAGTACTGGAATTGGTCGTATTGGTGAGTTGTGTCGTTCCACTTGGCGTGGGTGTATTGTCGGAAATCGGTGATCTCCTTGTAGGTGATGTTGCAGTCTGTGAGGATATTGGCAATGTACTGGTGTTGTGGTCGGTTGGGATTGTCGAGTTGGGTGGCGTGGAATTCGAGCCATTCCAGGATTTGGTCTGCAGGTGTAAAGGTGTGAAAGTTGGGTGGAGGTCGCCAACGGTTGATTGGGCGACGGAGGACGGCTGTGGTGGGAAATTGAGAGGGGTCTGGGTTGGAGTGTTCGGTGTTAGGGCGTAGATCAATGGGTTGTGGTGGCGAGCGACTGCGGGATGGCGTAAGGCTGGATGTGTAAGTGGATGTTGAAGGCGACCGCCGTCGCCGGGTTTTGCTGTGATGTTTGGAGTGGCGGTGATGGTGATGTCGGCGGCGGTGGCGGTGGCGTCCTCTGTGGTGATGGTCGGACTTGCGTCGGCTCTTGTGGTGGTGGCGGCGACTGCTGTGTGGTGGTTGCGGGGAAGGTGGTTGCGGTGCTGGTGAGGCAGTAATGTCAGGTTTGGCTGGTGCTGGTAGTGAAGATCCAGGCGCTGGTGCGGCAGATACCAGCGATGGGGATGCTGAATGTTGGGATACGGTAGCTGGGGGGGGGCGTGTTTTGGACTGGTAATGGATTGTCCTGGGCAGTCGTGGGGGTGGATTGGATTGGTAGTGTTGGATCCGATGGTGGCTGCTGTTGAAGTGGAGGTTGGGCTGGTGTTGAGGTGTTGATGGTTTGTGGAGGCGGTGGCGGGGGCAACGGTTGGGGTGGAGGCTGTGTGACGGGGGGAAAGGCTGAATAGGGTTGCCAAACGCCCTGGGGGATGGCGTATTGGGGGTCTGTGGATGGATGATTGGCGATCGCAGTCGGTTGCTGTGTTGGAGGGGAATGTGTCATTGGGGGGAGGGGGTTCAGCCGGTGGTGTGGGATGATGTGATGGCAACAGGTAGGAAGGGGGAGGTGCTGCTGTCGGAAATACTGGAGTTGGATGTGTGGGCTGCGGTGGCAGGTGACATGGTTGGACAAAAGTCCAAGTGGATGGTGTGCCGTAGGTCAGTGCAGTGGCGGTAGGGTTGGACACAAACGGTGGTGGTTGAAATGGTTGTGGTTGTGGGTGAGGGTATGCCGATGGTTGTGTCGGGGGAAAAGTGGGTGCAGTTGATGGTTGTGGCATCGGCCATGTGGGTTGAGGTTGTGTGGTAGGTAATGGTGGTGGCGTGGTGTGAGCGTAGGGCCACGGAAAATGCATGTCGTGGTCGTAGCTATGGCGCGGCGCGGCGCGGCAGCAAAAAAGCAGCGGGGAGGTGCCGAGTTGTATTGTCTAGTTGTTGTTGAAGGTGTCGGCTCTGGTGTCAATGGTGAGTATGTTGTAAGGTGGTGCTAGATGTGAGCTTGTTGGTAGGCGTGTGTTCATGCATATCGAATTAAGCTGAAGAGCTGTAATGCCCATCCTTGAGTTCTGTCGAGGAAAGAATCGCGGCAGCAACATAGCAAATATAGAAACTCGCACATGATTGGAAGACATGAAAAGACAACTGAATGCTGAAATCTGAGATCTGGAAGTTGGAATCTGAATTATTCTTCAAGAACCGTTTTTTTGGCCCGGCGGCCGGTGTGGCGGTTGATTCTGTGAGGGTGTCGGTGCCTTCCTGTGAGAGTCCAGTGAGCGGTGGTGCGTTGGGGTGGTTGCTTTCCCATGCAAAATCGGCGCCCCTGTGACGGGGATCACACTCAGCACCCGAGTGGGACGGCTGAGCAGGACACACTCTGACACTGGTTTTCCGTTAAACTCAATTTCTCCGATGGGAAGGAAGGCGAGGGAACGGCAAGGTGGCAAAGTCCGCTGAAAAGTATTGTTTAACACAAGTTTCACGACAAACGCAAGTGGAAGCGGCGGTCAGCAGCTGCAGTGCAGTGGGAAACCTGTTTGTGGGGAGAGTATCGTGTGGAACCACCATGAATCAAACCAAAAGATTGGACAGCGTGTTCAAAAGTTGTAGCAGGTACGCAGGGCTGATCGGGCCCTGCTTCCCACTCTCGCCCACAGCTTCGTTGCGTGTGGTAGGGCGAGAGTGCCACACGCCCCTGCCTGTGTAGAGTGGAAAGAGTGGTGGTGAAAGACCCTTTGTCCAGGGTGGGACACACACACACATATATATATATACACATGCATCATAGGTTTAAGGAGTCGCTATATGCAAGGGACTGCCATGTTTGCAATTTTGTCATTCCCATGTAGCATCACTCACACGAGGAGGAGAGCCTTTCGCTTATGTCCAGAGTCCAGCCGCTTGTTGACGAAGCTTTGTTATTTGTTCGTGGGGCTTGAAGAAGTGCTTTTGCTTAATGGTGTTCAAGGAATGCCACCGCGCATTTTCAACGCACTTGAACTATCTTGAACTCAAGACTTGAACGCCCTGAACATGATACTGAGGTCATGTATGATCCGGGAATGGGCATCCAGTACCAAGCCACAACAACCTTTAGCGCGGCTGGCTCGGGTTCAGGAAAGCCATAGTCCTGCTCGATCCTGCTTGGTCCTGCTGCGGGCTTCAAGAAGGCATACGAAAGTCAGAACAAAGGTAAATAGCATTACTCTTCACCAGAGCGAGCGAGCAGGATGTTCTTGGGGCCCCATGGCCTTCAACGTTGGTCCTTGAAAAAAATTTCCCTGCATCTCCGGAGGAGCTGCAGGTTCACAACCTCCCACTTTGACCATTGTTTGCGGGTCATAAGTGCTGGAGGGCAGAGCGCCGATGGCAGTGTGGAGGGGTGTTATATAGGGCAGCGAAAGATCCAATGCCAATCAACCACTTCCAGAGTAGCTTTGTTGTTTGTGGAAGGTCCCCCGTGCTGTTTCTACTGGCCTGCACGGCACTTGACAGTCTAATTGTTGGACCAGGCTTGCCTTGCCGGCCAAAAAAGCTGAAAGGTCACAGCTCATAGACAAACGAATTGGAAGTTCTGAGTGGCACTTGGGTGGGGTCATGTGTGTGACAACCGGCATCCCCCCGGTTCAAAGATTGAGATTGATCCGTTCATTTGTGACAGGGCGGGAAAGTCACCTCGCCATGGCGGACAACTTGCGCCTTGCGGCGGAGCCAGCTGTTACAACCATTCCGGTGGTCACTGTGCCAGCACGGGTCACAGAGGTGCCAACCTCGGTCCCTGTGACACAGGTGGCACCTGTGACACAGGTGACTCAGAGCCAGGTGAGTGGTGTTGCTGCCACTTTGTCACAGCCAGGCTACATCATCCAAGGGCCTCCTGGGCCTCCTTCATCCCATGTGGCGTCTCCCAGAGTCTACTACCGGGACGTGTCCCCTGACCGTGTGGTGTACCGGGATAGCAGCTCCATCAGCCCTGCCTTAAGGTCCTGGGTGGAGTGCCTGGTGGACAACCGTGTGGATCAAGCCATGCGACAGCTACAAGATGGGAACTTTGCGCTTTTGCTGGAGCAAACTCGCCAGGATGCCAATACCATCTCACACAACACCAACTTAGCCCTGCAGCAGTCTGAGGAGGCACGCAGGCGGCTGGAAGCTCAAGTCCGCTCCCTCAATGATGGACAGTCCAAATTGAAGGCCATTGTGGAGAACTTGTCCGGAGAGAATGATCGACAATTCTGTTCCAGCAGCCAAGCCAAAGCCGAGGCGGTGCAATCCGTGGAGCGCGTGGTGGCCACGGTGCAGGAGCTGCGGCGCACCATGGAGCAGGACGGCGACGTGGTCAGCGCGCGGCTCCGCGAGCACGCCTTGGCCATCGACGACCTGCGGCGCTCCACCGCCGAGGACGTGGCGCGGCTGCGCGCCGCGGCGGCGGACCTGCAGCGGCTCAGCGCGGAGGCCACGAGTCGCCAGCGGCAGAACGGGGACGAGTTGGCCACCACGGCCGCCTCGGTGGCCGCCACACGGCAGGAGCTGGCCGAGCTATCGCGGCAGCTGCAGGGCTTTGACCGGAAGTTGTCTGGGTGGAAGAGCGAGGTGAAAGTGGAGGTGTTGGAAGAGGTGGCTGGCCGGGAAATCTCCCAAATGGCAGACACACGCATTGATTTGGAATCCAGGATTGAACGGCTCAAAGTGGATTTGGCCACCCTGGGGAAGATGAAGTCGGAGACGGAGAATCGATTTCATCACATGGAGCAGGATTTCGCCACCCGCCTGGGAGACCTGGAGTCCTTCTGTGACAACCTCCGCTCGGAAGTCTTCTCAGCGACCAACGCGCGGGTGGAGACCTTGGATGCGAGATCTTCGGAAGCTCAACAAAGCTTATCCAGGCGGGAACGGAGCTTTGAAGACTGGCCCGAGGGCCGTATGCGCTGGTGCCCTCGGGGTTTTGGATGGCTTTGATGGTGAGACCTGATGACACATGCACGTGTGAGGCATTAGGTCATTAGGTGTTCAGCAAGAAAATCCTAGAAAATTGATGCCAATGACGGATAGATGAATAGGGGAACACAGAAGAATTGGAGTCTCAAACATTGTTTACGAAAGCCAGCCTTCGTAGAAGGCGCCAGCTGAGTTGTGCTTGGCGAACGAAGCGAGGGGGGGGGTACACGTAAACTCGGCACATGCTGGGGGAGGAGGGTGGACGGATGGAATGTTTTTTGAGGTGATTTTTGAGGGGTGGTGATGCAAGAAATGCAATTTGCATCATTTGCATCATCTGAATGGTAAGGTGTAGTATCGTAGTTGGCACCTTGCCAGGTATAGATACCCAGGGTAGCTATAGTGCAGTTACGAGGTATAGAACTTCAAGTTCCCTTTCCATCAACCGCTCGATAACCTTTACACACGCACAGCAATCCGCAGCTTTGAAGTCTCATGCGCGCGATACCTGGGAACAGAATTGTAGCTACCCTGGGTCCGTAGAAATGCTATGTTGCTATACCTCTTACACACCTATATAAGTTCAAAGCACGAATGAGACTTCAAAGCTGTGGTTTGCTGTGCATGTGTAAAGGTTATCGAGCGGTTGACGGAAAGGGAACTGGAAGTACTATACCTGGCAACTGAATTGTAGCTACCCTGGGTCCGTATAGATGCTATGTTGCTATACCTCTTACAAACCTATATAAGTTCACTGCAAGAATGAGACTTCAAAGCTGTGGGTTGCTGTGCGTGTGCAAAGGTTATCGAGCAGTTGACGGAAAGGGAACTTGAAGTACTATACCTGGTAACTGAATTGTAGTTACCCTGGGCATCTATACCTGCGCCAGCTGAGTAAGAAGGGGGGTTCGGGGGGGTGGCCTGAGAAAGCACACTCGAAAGTAAAAGCGCTGGCTTTCGTTTTGCAGCTTCTCAGGTTTTGTTTATTTTGCTGCCCCCCCTTTAAAAAGGGCACAAGAAGTGATCATACCGCATCATACCCCACAAAGATTTGAAGACATCCCGCCAGACAGTTCCGGGTCGAACAGCGGCTGGAGGCGCTTTGATGCCTTACAGGTGGGTGTCCATGAAGATGTGGAGTCCACTCGCCTGGATCTCAAGAAGTTGTCAGCTCACGTGAAGAGACTGGAGGACCAACACAGTTCCATCCGGGAGGAGGTCGCCTCCGAGGTACGTTTGGCCATCGCAGGCATCCCTGACTACAGCCATGATGAAGGGCCACTGCGTGCGGAAATGGCACAGAAGCTCAGTGACCTGGGAGCCAGGCTCAATGATTTAGGAAGCCGACTTCAGCAAATGGAATTGGCCACGCGGGAGAGTTTGGAACTGCGAGTGAGCCATGTGAATGCTGAAGCTCAGCAAGGTGTTGACCAAGTGAGGAGTGAAGTCTATGCTCTCCGGAAGCTCCTCAAAGAGGAGCAAAGCGTCGTCGCCGCGTTGGATGAGCAGCTGTGGCTCACGGACCAGCGGTTAGGTCAGAGGATCGATGATGCCGAAAGAGCCATCCATCGAGAACGGCTCAGCTTCGAGGCCAGACCTCTCCGCACGCCCCAGACTTCGGGACAGACCTCTCCGAACGGAGAATCGAAGAGTCCAGGAGGTTTAGCCATGGCACGCTTAGCTACTCGGCCCATCCTGGCATTATCTGATGATTCATGGGTTGTGTATATATATATATATGATTATATATGAGATAAGTGATATCTGGTTCAATGATGTTCTATGATATCTATGACAGGCTACCGAGATGTTCTGGACCCCTCATTCCTTTCACCCCTGCCGGCTTCAGGGCTTCCTCCACGGTTTGGATGTTTGCGGTCCGAGGCAGCCGAGGGCTTTGCTGCTTTGGCCCACGAGGAGGTGGATGAGCCCAGTGGACGGCGAGGATCTGGGCCTTCTGGGCTGTCCATGGCACGGCAAGCCGGAAGCTTAGTGAACCTGCTGCGACATGCACAAGTAGCCAAAAGGAGCCATTTGGAGCCAGAGAGACTTGGACACAGAATACAGTATGTATGACACAGTGCTGTCGCTTTCACAGGCTGCTGAAGATCTGGCTTCGCGTGGTGCGCGGAGCCGTTTGAGTGACAGAAGGTTTTAGCAATTTTAGCCAAGCCTTTGCTGTCATTATCTTACATCGTCAAATTCATCAGTCTCTAAGAGCTCGACTCGACCCCTTCGGTTGAACATCTTGAGTGAAATGGCATACGATGACACACGTGAACATACTCCATATGATATTGATTATGATTGCGATTGTAGGAACAGGACGTCGAATTGTGCTTCGGCATTTGGTATGTGAATGATGCGAACGTTGATCTTGTGAGGCCACCTGGGCCTCTGTTTCGGTTTCTGTGTTTTTCTCGGCGAAAGGCCTCTGAATTCGCAAATGTAGTTGCTGGTGTGTGGAGAGAAGGAAAAATGCATCCACAGAGCAAGGCAAGGCTATTTTTGCTTTGTGCATGAAAGGGTGAGTGAGCCTGTAAAACCCGCAGACATAGAGAAGCAGACACCAAGTTATACACACAGGAAAACACACACTGGGAAGCACGCACAGATATCCGATATATATGGGAGTTGATCGAAAACCCCGTGTAAGGAGTTTTATATAAAACAGCCTTTCAGATGTTGTTAGAACCATCCGCGAAAGATTCGCGATGAGGTTCGCGAAAGTATCTTTTTTTTCCGCGAAAGATTTATCGAAGGTCATCGCTTTCATTGATTTCCTTTCTACCGGACTGACAAAGAATAGAAACGCAAGGCAATCCTCCGGCAGAGCCAGTGGGCGAAGTGTCCCCATGTCACAGACTAACGAACTGAAGCCTCAACCTTTCCGTGCCCAGCCCTGGCAGTGCGTAAAGGATTCTCCGATTCCTGTCCCCACTGTCACATACTAGCAAGCTGGGTAGGCGCAGCCCTGACAGTGAGGCAACGACCTGCCGCTGCTCTGACGGGCTGTGCAGATGTTTGCAAATGTTACGGCGTCCCGGGGAAAGCACCAGTGAAATTTCGCGAAAGATCCGCGAAAGTTTCGCGAATGTGCCGCTAAAGTCTAGGTTCCCAGCTTGAGGCCCCCAACATTCCCCAAGCTGCATCACCCTGTGTTGGTAGCTGACACAAGGATTGGGTTGAGTTGTGCCTGACTCTATTTGGCACAATTGTCGCACAGATGCTGCAAGTGACCCTGAGTAGCTGTGCAAACGTTCACCATCTACTGGGGTCATGCTGCAAGACGTCTCTCCCTATTATGACGTGTTCCGGCTCATGTTAGCTAGACATGGTTGTAGGACCATGCTTCGCGATGAGGCCGCGAAAGATCCGCGAAAGATATCTTTTTTTCCGCGATGAATGGCCATTCCAGGATGAAAGAATATTGATCAGCCACCATATATATATATATATTATAGATAGGTATATGGTATACATCTTGTTATGCTTATACACACACAGAGACACGGACCGGCAAACCAACACCTGGACACGCCACAGACGCTACATATGCAGCAAGACAATCACAAGTAGACAGTAGAGACGCGCAATGTCAAATCGTGCAAGACCAAATTGTGAGTCACCCCCCAAAACTGACCAGCACTTGTGCAAGGCAACCTGTATGTGGGTAAGGAGCCATGCTGCCGCAGCACTTTGACCTTTTGAAGGGCAAGTGCCCAAATGGCGCCGCTTGTGTTTTGTGAAGTGACCTCAGCATTTGCCTCACCCTCAGGCCTAGTGAACCCCAACTATGTGGAGCAGGGGGCGCAGGCGTCGACGCCCGGAAGACATGGCAGTATGAAGACATGGAAGAAGGATACCTTCAGCTGACTGCGCAGGCCCGCAACTCGCGCTCGAAGCATTTCACGGCGCTGTTCACGCCCTCCCGACACAGTTCCATGTGGAAAAGTCTGCATTTTCAGCACAGATGTAACCCAGACGGGCCCCACTCGCAAGACCTGGGAACCCCCACAACTCGCCAGACAGCGTCGGCTGCCGGATGTGGGCTGGAAGGAGGCGGTTCTGAAAGTCACAGAGCGGGTGGAGAATCAACTCTCTGTGCAGTCGCATCTAACATCATGACCTAACCACAAAAAAGAGTCACAGCAGGCCACTTAGACCACATATACCAGACAGTTCTCTGTGACCGCTTTTGCTTTTTCTGTGAAGTGCCCGCGGTTCTGCTGTATACTCTTCTGCCATAATAAAGGCTTCGGAGCAGATTCGGAGCAGACTCCGAAGGAGGCTCCGGAGTAGGTTCCGGAGCAGGTTCCGGAGCAGGTTGCGGAGGAGGTTCCGGAGCAGGTTCCGGAGCAGGTTCTGGAGGAGGTTCCGGAGCAGGTTCCGGAGCAGGTTCCGGAGCAGGTTCCGGAGCAGGTTCCGGAGGAGGTTCCGGAGCAGGTTCCGGAGCAGGTTCCAGATCCGGAGGAGGTTCCGGAGCAGGTTCCGGAGCAGGTTCCGGAGGAGGTTCCGGAGGAGGTTCCGGAGCAGGTTCCGGAGCAGGTTCTGGAGCAGGTTCCGGAGGAGGTTCCGGAGGAGGTTCTGGAGCAGGTTCCGCTCAGGTTCCGGAGGAGGTTCCGGAGCAGGTTCTGGAGCAGCTCCAGAGTGTATATAGGTCCCGGAGGAGGTTCCGGAGCAGGTTCCGGAGTATAGGTTGTGGAGCAGGTTCCGGAGTTCCGGAGCAGGTTCTGGAGCAGGCGGAGGAAGTTGCGGAGTATAGGTTCCGGAGAAGGTTCCGGAGCAGGTTCCGGAGTATAGGTTGAGGAGGAGGTTCCGGAGGAGGTTCCGGAGCAGGTTCTGGAGGAGGTTCCGGAGGAGGTTCCGAGCAGGCTCCGGAGAGCACTGCATGAGAGAAAAAGTGTGGCTGTGAAATTGGCCTTGAGCTGTTGGGTATTTTTTGTTGCTTTTGGACTCACCAGGGGTTCTTACGGTAGGAGAAAAGCAGCTGATGCTTAGATCGCTGAAGCGCGCGGGCGTGAACGGCTAATTCGTTACTATTTGCAGTACATTCATGCCTCTCGAAATCCTCGAAATGCATTTCGACTGCGCAGGCTCCGCGCGCATCTTCGTACATGGCGGTCACTTTTTGTGGCAGACGCAAGGGAAGCCTCGTGTTTTGGTGCCCAAAAGTCAACTTTTCGTGGCGGGTGCAAGGGATCGATTTCGTGGCAGGTGCAGCACTTTGTGAACCTTGACGCGTAGATTTCGTGGCAGGCGCAGCACTTTGTGAACCTCGAAGTGCAGATTAGTCCCTTGATTATAACCCCCCTCAACAACCAAGGCCTCCAAGATAATGTATAAGAAAATCAATCAATTGATGATTAAATAAGGAATCCTTAGCTAGCTACCTCTGGAGCTACTCTGGCAATACTAAAATGAAAGGAATCAAGAAACCTAACTTTGAAGACATCTGGAATATTAATTACAATAAAAGATAATGACTTTTTTTCCTGCATAGATTTATACAGGCCCCCAGAATAATGTCTTTTTTTTTGGGAGGGGCAGTTGTAGTGGAATACTTTTTATTGTTATAGTTTACTTTGTCCCTTTTGAGTTTGCTGGGATTTTCTTATCTTACAGGCTTTTGGATGGAGATTTCTATTAAACATTTGGAGACTTCCATTGAGATTTGATGCTTTTGGAGGCTTTTGGATGGAGATTTCTATTAACCAGTTGAAGATTTCCATTGAGATTTGATTCTTTTGGAGGCTTTTGGATGGAGATTTCCGTTAAATTTTTGGAGATTTCCATTGAGATTTGATGCTTTTGGAGGCTTTTGGATGCTTTCTGACATTATTTAGGGGGGGTGCCTAGAATAATGTCTAGAGATTTCAGGCTTAAAAATATTTTGCTTTAAGTAAACTTGTATTCATTCCCTTTCTTTTCTGCTTTGATTTGCTTTACTTACCTAAGCTCTTTAGTCTTTAAGCTGTCCAAACGTTTCATTTTGCTGTCTATTCTAGGGTAGTGGTTTATACATCTAGGGGCCACATTAGGTGCAGCACGTGGTGAACCTCGAAGTGCAGATCTCGTGGCAGGCGCAGCGCATTGGTGAACCTCGAAGTGCAGATTTCGTGGCAGGCACAGCACTTGGTGAACCTCGAAGTGCAGATTTCGTGGCAGGCACAGCACTTGGTGAACCTCGAAGCGGAGATTTCGTGGCAGGCACACCACTTGGTGAACCTCGAAGTGCAGATGTCGTGGCAGGCGCAGCACTTGGTGAACCTCGAAGTGCAGATTTCGTGGCAGGCACAGCACTTTGTGAACCTCGACTCGAAGTGCAGATTGCGTGGCAGGCACAGCACTTGGTGAAGCTCGAAGTGCAGATTTCGTGGCAACTTTGTGAACCTCGATCTCTCTCTCGCTCGCGCTCACTCACTCACACTCACACTCACTCTCACTCGCACTCACATTCACGCTCACTCTCACTCACACTCACTCCCACTTCTCACTTCTCACTTCTCACTTCTCACTCTCACTTCTCACTCTCACTCTCACTCACTCTCCCACTCTCTCACACTCACTCTCACTCTCACCCACACTGACTCACTCACCCACCTTCACTCTCACTCGCGCTCACTCACCCACCTTCACTCTCACTCTCACTCACTCACACTCTCACTCTTCACTCACACTCGCCTCACATCACTTACTCTCCCACTCTCACTCACTCTCTCCCACTCACTCTCATTCTCACTCTCACTCTCACCCACTCACTCACCACCATCGCCACCGTCACCACGATCCCCACCTTCATCACCACCATCACCTCTCTGGACCCCAATGCGTCTAGATCTATAGACTTTCTGCTTATAGACCTCACACACTGTTTGGGGTCTCTTGCCGGGATATTTTTTTTGCATGTTTGTTTTTTTGAGCCATGTTCGTTTTTTTGAGCCACGTTCTTCATTTCCCTGGCCACACCCAGCAGCACGCACGCATGCGCATTCGCTGGCGGCTGGCGCGACGTCCAGGATGACATTCAAGCACTGCTGGATGAAATGGCGCCGGAGGCTGAAATGCAGTGGGCCATTGGTTTCCTATGTTGGGGCACATAAATGTATACTCAAGGGGGCTCTGGAGAACCCCCCCCTCCCCTGTGTGGAGATAGACCGGGTGATGTTTCTGGGCGACGTCGATGTAACCTAAGCGACATGGCAACATCGCATGGTTTTGCACCTTGTGGAGGTGGTTTTGGCTCAAAACGGATCGTCAAACGGAGTAGGAGAGAACACATCCACTGCCAAGAATGTAGCATTGTGAGTGAGATTGAGGGAGCAGAATGCCAAGGATCACAAACTTGTTCATCCATCACAACTTTATACCAAAACGGGATTCACGCACTTGATGGACAGAACTTCAATTTGACAAAACAGATCGGCAACATATTATTTTGAGATATTTGATCTAGAGACCATTGACTAGCTCAACTCCTGTATTTTTTGACGCATTGTCAGTGCTTCAAAACATGACTCATACATTGTGCGCATGCCAAGAACTAGTGCTGACGTCTATGAACCATGGACAAGCTGAGCGCCAGAGATGCCAGTGAAAAAGAAAAAGGTCTACAAACACATTACTAAAGGCGCACGTGCGCAGCATGCCAAGCCTTCCGGCACCAAGGCGGAGCAGCAAGAACAGGAGCCTCAAAAGGACATTCCACTTGTCCCTCAGAAGAAGTTAGGCCTGCGGAGGAAAATCAGGAAAGGCCGAAAAGGAGCTCTTGGAGAACCCAGTGGTGAAGTCCAAAGTGCCAGCAGAGAAGTGGTAGCTCAGGAGCAGGCCGAGCAGGCCGAGCAGGCCGAGCAGGCCGAGCGCTCACGACTCGGACTGAAGTCATCCAAAAAGAAGCGACGGCGAAACGCCAGAGCTGTGCCAGCCTCCGTCGAGCGCGAAGAGACCCCCAGGTGCTCGCCACTCCGCTCCGGTGAGTGTGAGGGGACGGAGGGGACGGTGAAACCGAAGCCGAAACGGGTGAAGAGCCGCCCAGACGAGGAGCCCGAGCCCCACGAGCCCAAGAAAAAGCTGAAGGTGCCTGAAAATGAAAGAAAAGAGACAGAGAGAGAGACTGGAGAGACGGCAGAAATGAATGGAGACTGCGTTGAAGATTTGGAGACCATGTGCTTGAAGGTTTGTGCTGCAAATCTCCCCTATTGGTTCGATAAGAGCCGTATTTGGAGGCACTTCCGTCGGGCTGGCACCATTCAACACGTTTGGCTGCTGTGGGATCAATGGTCTGGTGAGTCAAGAGGCATTGCTTTCATCACGTTTGCAGACAAGTCCTCTGTGAAAGCGGCGCTGGAGTATGATGGAACCACAGTTGGGGGTAGCGTGATCCGAGTAAACCTTGCCACAGACAGGGAGGGAGAGAAGGGCAAGGCAAAGGAGAGTGAAGCGGTGAGGGTGAATGGTGGTTGGGGCGGAGGCGGAAGTTGGGGCTCCGAGAACCCTGACGGTAAGCAAGCTGGTGGCAACGGTGGCAAGGGTGGCAAGGGTGGCAAGGGTCAGTCAAAGGGAAAGAACAAGAGTCAGTCACCGAGCGCTCCATTGGCCTTGGCCGATAAACCTGAGGGTTCCCTTGGTCTGATGGCCCGAGGCTTGTCCTTTGACGTGACCGAGGCTGACTTGCAAGAGCTCTTTGCCAGCTGTGGCTCGGGTCCGACCAGAGTTCGGATCTTGATTCTTGACTGTCCGAGACAGCATAAACCCTTAATCTGTTTGGTTCAGAAAGGATTCCCTACTATTCCCTACTAAAGTCGCTAAAGGTTAAAGGCAAAAAAAGCTCAACCTTTAGCAAAGGACGTATGGACAGCCGAGGATTGACAAGGCCACTGGCCAGTCCAAGGGCAAAGCCTTCATCGACTTCGCCGACGAGGCCGCGTTGACGCGGGCGGCGGAGCTGAACGATCAGATGCTCCGGGGCCGAAAACTGCGCTTGGAGTTTTCCAAGGCGGTGGCATGACGGATGAGGAATCACAGCATCTGGAAGGACAGCCATTTTGGGAAAGCGGCATGGCCTTTGGAGATCTTTGACGCCACATCGATGGACCGGCCAAATTCTGTTTGGCACCTTTTGGTGCCTTTGGTGTACAGGTGCTACATGGAAGGTCCGCGTGTGAGGATGGCAGAGAAACCAAAAGCTTGACAAAGACAGCGGAAATTACATAGATATAGAAATGGAGTCATATGGAGCCTAATGGAGTTCAAAAACAGAAGACTTACCGGGGCACCATGCTGGCTATACGGGTGAGAGCTGATTTACTCCTTGCGCGATCCAAGGTCCTTTGACACCAACAACTTTGAGGACTGGTCAAGTTTTGTTCGAGACAGTTTGCTGACATACAGTATGCCCCGCCATGTTCTTGATCCATCGGCTTTGGCAGGGAAACGTTGGAGTCGGAGAAAGAGAAGGCCGCCGCGACATTTTCTCACCCAGTGGGCTTCCAGCGTGCGTTCGGGAAGCTGTCAGGCCGCGTCATCTCTGACCTGGTTCGGCGTAGGCATTTTGGCCTGACGCATGGTGACCCATCCTGAAAGGTCGTGTGCTGTGTTTGTGCGCCATGTGTTTCTCGGATGCACCAAGTGCTGGGCAGGTATCGGTCGGAGTGGAGATGTCATGGTCGCGGCCCAAGGTTTTTGCCGAACACAGTATTCAGATGTATATGATGTATTCAGTAATACGCTTTTTTTGCAACATCGTTTTTTTGGGGTGTGGGTCCCGTGGGTTGGTTCATTTGACTCATGTTAGTTCATTTGTTGCTTTTGTCGGCCAGCGTAGGTCGTGGTTCGGTTGTCGGGTGCGGTCGTGGGGGGGGGGTAATGACGTGCTCTAAGTGATGTAAGGATGCAGTTGTGCGTACCTCACCGTGTTTTCCTTTGTGTATTACAACGTGCTTCTTTCAATGGCAGGTGCTCCTATGCAACATCCAAACCTACTGTAAATACCAATACACAATTCAGGTAATGACCTTCAAGTCGAAGGAAGAACACTTTTCCGCAGGTTTCTTAAGTGAAAGAAACTTGTGTGTTGAGTTGCAAAGTGTTGCGAATCAACAATTACTAGTATCATGAAAGAACTCTTGGCTGAACTGCTGAATGACTGATCACTTATCATCAGACCTTCAAGAACACTTTTCCGAACTTTATTTATTTTCCTGTCTCGCACTCCGAACCAAAATGAAGAATCTTCCTTGGGAAGCATGGGAAGTGTGATGCACCAGCTAAGACACTTCCAAGACAAACCGACAAAAAAATCCACAAGAAAAAGACCCAACAACAAACCAGCACACAGTTGCAGGGCGGGTTATCAGACGCGTCCCTTGTTTTTCGCTGGGCAGATCAGGATTGCGGCATGTCTGACGGTTCATGCTGCTTTCTTGTGAGGCTTTCAGCATGGGCAGGTTTGTGCGTCGATGCGACCACGCAGCCCGATGCGACCGGACGCCGCGTTCACGGCGCCCGACAGTGGTCGTTGCTCCAGGCGGAGCAGCCGAAAGCTGCCGGGTCTTCCCTCTTGGTGCAGTTCGGAAGCCCGCCCTTGCCATATCGCTGTTGTGCTCCAAACACGTTGGGGTTGTGTTCAAACTGTTTGGTTTCTTGGTGAACATTTGGCAGAATACTCGCAGTGGATCTCAGGAAAAACTAAGAAAGCTGAATCATTTGGTTGGTTTTCAGAGTCATTTGGAGATTCCCAATGTCCAAGAAAAAACAATTTGAGTGTAGTAAGTGACTGCATGCCATCCTAGGCTGACAAGATACTTAGCGCTGGATGCGATTCGATTAGCTGGGCTACAGCCTTTGCTGCAAAGTCTTTGCAACCTTCGGATTCACACACCCGCACACATTCAATTTGTCACGTTCTTTTTGAGACTGCTGAACTCAGTCTAGAGTCCAGAGAAGTCTGGAGGAAGATTTGTAAGTCATTGCGTTGGTGGTCTGCTCAGGATCAAGGCTGCCAAAGCTTGCGCGGTCTTGCCTGCTGCGACAGGACACCTCGGGCGCCGGTAGGAGAAGATCTCCAGGTGCCTGAAGATCTGCAAGTGGACACATCCCAGTGCATCCACCTCGTCCGCCACTAAAGGGTCAATCATATGAAACCTTTCCTAGAAGATTTTTGCCTGCCAGAGTTACTGTACGATGATTCTCAAACATTCTCCGGAGGACTCACCATGACGCTGGTATTTCTGGCCTTGCGGCAGATGAGGCCAGTCGAATCACATCGGCTCTTAAAGTCTTAAAGTCGGCCTTTGCCACGTCGTGTAGCCACAGGCCAGAAGGGAAGTATGTGGTCTGGTCCAGGCTCAGTTTGAAAAAGAGACACGGTTGGCCCCTCTCACTGACATCCTTCTGCCAGGATAGATCAGAAATCCTGCTTCAAGGCAAATGGGGTTTCTGCCACAGACATTTTCAATCATTTTCAATCGTTTTCAATAGTAAGGGCTCCGCCCTGGTGCCGCCGACCCCTTTTCTTGGGGGAGGAGCTGGAAGACCAGAAGCCGGACAGGGATTGCTATAAGCATACACCGGCTATGTGCTCAAGACTCTGTATTCTTGATTCCTTTTACCCGGGCTTAGGCTACACTACGGACGCGCCAGTGTATGCACAGTCCTTGTCAGGAAAGCTGAGATGAGCTGTGTGCCTGAAACCTTGACATATCACACTGGTGGTGCTTGCTGCCGGCGGCGCTGCTATAACCATACACCGGCTATTTCCTCAAGACACTCTATTCTTGACACCTTTTACCAGTGCTTATCCTACACAACGGACGCCCTAGTGTATGCACAGTCCTTGTGATGCTTACCCCTCGTTCCGGCTGAAGGCATAGATAAGCGGGGGGTAAATCGACCCCCCAGATTTGCTATCCCAAGTCCTCCCGAAACCATTCTCAGCATGAACTCTCATTTCAGGACCATACTGACCCAAAGGAAAGTTCCAAGACCATTCTCAGGATGGTCTTTCGTTACAAGGGGGCTAGGTGCACCATCACAAGGACCTTTTTTCCACATCAGAGCGTGTTCTAGCGCATCCACCAACACATCATCACGCTCAGGAACGTTTGCGGGCGGGGCCCGTGGGCGAAGAGAAGGGGCAGGCTTCGGACAGGCCACAGAGAGGCCG